TTTTTTTTTTGTTTTTGATACTGACACATTTTTTTCTACACCTGAGGTTTGCACCCAATTTCGTTGTACTGTGTACAATGACAATAAAGATTCTATTCTATTTTTAGCATCCCATTTCCTACCAACAGTTAATGCTGGTTCCCTTTCTGACCACAAACTTTCTCCTGTATGTATGTGTACATGTAGGCTATGTATATCATTCCATTTTCTGCCACTTATCGGTTTGGCCAGAGTGGCAGCTGGTTCAACAGGGAAGTCCAAATGTCTTTCTCCTCAACAACATTTTCAAGCTTCTCCTGGGAAACCCTGAGGCGTTCTGGGTCTAATGTGTAATATTTTTATGATTTTATGGGAAGAAAAAAATATTGGAAAGGCAGATGAAAACATGCTCACAAGGTGCAGATAAACAACCAATGCTTTAGCTTATGTAGCTTCAATGTAGAAATAAGGGATTGAAATTATTTCTTTCTAAATAAAATGAAAATGGTTTTGTTTCAAATAATAACATTTCTGTTCTGATTGATATCAGAAGCAAATATTTAACAAACTAAAATAAAAAAATAATTAACTAAAATGAAAGCGCAGAGTACTCTTTTTAGTTTTATTGGCCGTTGTCAGGTGTCAGTCAAGTGACAGCTGTTGTAATTGGTAGCAGGTGAGGAACAGGAACAAAGAGGGCGGGTAGACACCGGAGAATGTTTTGGTTCAGTTCATGGAGGAGAAAAAGCAGCTAACATGTTAAGATACGTGCACAGTTTTTAGTTGATTAGACTGAACCTTATATGTGTGTGTTTGCACTGTATTAAAGTTCGTAAATTACCGAAAATATGTAGCTGTTAGCCGCTAAGCTAGCGAGAGTAACGGTGCCAACTGCCTAGCTATAGGCTGCTATTTCGGTATACAGGTGTCGGTAGTTTTGGCTAACAGCAGTTATTCTGAATTAACTTGTGTATATGTAGATGTGCTGGGACCCCATGCTGGATTCAGTGCTCGATAGACCTCACGAATACCGGGAAAGGTGTGTGTTTCCTCTGAAAACACAGAGTGGACTCTGTAATTGTTGCAGTACGTGGTCAGATAGCGCCACTGGTGACCTCGGGATGGCCTTTGGGTTCTAGAACTGAAGTGTAAGTGTTGAACTCTCTTTGCACTGAAATCCCTCCATATTCCTTGAATCCCTTGCTTATTGTTATGCACTATAGAGGGTGACATATCCAAAGCCCTTCGTATCTTTCTTTGAGGAACATTGTGTTTAAACATTTCAATAACCTTCTCACACATACAGTATGTTGGCAAACTGGCGGTCCTCCGCCCATCTTTGCTCCTAAAGGGCTCGGCCTTTCCTGGATCCCACTTTTGTAAAGGGGAAAAAAAAACAAAACATTGCCATCACCTATTTTAAATCAAATCATCATTTCATTGTTTTACCTCATTGCTACCCCTGAAATGCAACCATCCCAACTGTTTTGTGAGTGTTTATTTTGAACAAAGAATAAATTTGATGAGGTATCACATAAGATCTACTGTATTGTTTTCAATATGACACAGGACACAGATGATTTAGCAATCACTATTTTTAGTTTTGATTTTACATATCAAACTCTTTCTGGTTTGAGGTTGTACATTTTCAAGGCTCTTCACGCTGACATTTTGCTGTCAAGAGACTTTCGGGATCACATTGGGGGAATGGTCATCAGCCTGGCTACCCTCAGCAACAGAGTGGCCATCATATTTGCCAGTGGCAGTTCTGTAGTTGCATTTCAGTGTGAGCATCTCCATTTCATCTGAGCAGCTTTGCACCTAATCAGCTGACAGAAACAGGGCAGAGGAGGTGTATAAAGCTTTCCTGTAGTTATGTCCTTGCAGCAGCAAGGTGAAAATACCACAATAAAAAAAGAAAAGAAAAAACCCTTTACACTATAACTTTGACAAATAGATCAAGTATTAGTTTAATGTCACCTTCATGTCCCTCATTTCATTCAAGAGTCAGTCAATATGAATACTGTGATCACATTGTTGTGTAATTTTGCCTAAACTTTAATGTACCTCAACAGCAGCAGGATGTAGGTCAAACATTGTGTACCAGCGTCACACAGGCGGCTGAACAAGTGTGATTAAAAAGTCTTTACTAGATCAACGAAGCAGCAGTGAGCAATAAGAAAGCAGTCAGACCAGACAAACAAATTAGAGGGAGTAATAGGGAGCCATGATAGTCATTAGACCAGGTAGAGACAGATTGAACACAACAAAGGCCAGCATGTGGAAGTAGCATAGACAGGCTGGCGAAGCTAGGCCTGTATTTATGAAACATCTCAGAGTAGAAAATCACTCCTAACTGGCCAAAAATTCTCAGAATGGCATATTTTCGGTTCTACTTTTAGGAGAGGTCAACATTTCTAACTAAGGAAATCACTTCTGTCTCCACCAAAATGTAGAAGAGCTCTTATGTCTAAAAATTGAGTAGTTTTGTGACAGATCTTGTGTGGGACGCAATTGCTTAATTACTAGGAAGAACCGCTGAATGTGGAAAACATGGACGCCATGACAGCTCCCAGAAGTGAAGCCACTGCAACATGATCTCCCCCTTGTGGCTGGTTGCAATATAGGTATTAAATCCTGCCTCCTTCATGTTAGTGGATGGGACATGAGCCACACTAAAAACTCAAAGTACAAATCAGATTTTCCCACAGAGGTCAGTTCTATGGTTTTTTTTGGATGGATATTATCACATTGATGTGTGTACAGAGGTAAATTCTTCTGATAGGTCTGTCTATTAAGACATTTGTTGATATAAAAGGAGGCATATTTCATTTTATTTGACAGCTTTGATAGGCAGTTTGATGCTGTCCCCTCACTTCTGGTTGCTACTGCACAGAATCTAGTTGTAAAAAAGCAAGATGGCAGCCACTGTGTTCACGATATTTTGGCTTCATCTTTGCATAGTGGAGGGAAGTGGTGATGCAACATCCATTGTATACTGTATACAGTATACCAGTGGGAAGAACACATGCTGTCTCCACAGAAACCTAGGTCATTAAAACATTGTTAATAGGGAATGTGCAGCCTTGCAACAGTGATAATTTGTTATAACGAACAGTTTCAGCCATACTAAATCAACCGCTTGATCGCTCTTGCAGCACCACACAGATTCTGTCACCAAGGAAAAACAAGTTGCATTAATGCAAATCGCTGGTTTCCCTGGATTTGCTGGTGTCATCAACAGCACGCATTAAAATTATTGTCCCAAACTCCGACAAGGACATTTATGTGGATCATTAGCATAGGATTAACACTCACTTGGTTATGGATGAGAAACACTTTAGTGGCCAAATGGCCTCGATCCACACATGACTCAAGAGTGGACTAGAATTTTCATTTGAAAGCAGTCGTGTTCCCCATTGGATACACAGCTTTAAGAAAAATAATGGGATAGTGTTGATGAGGATAATTATACAAGTGGTTTTCCCATAAACTCATATACTACAAAAACAGAATTGGTATAAAGCATAACTGGAGCTCCTAATAATTCTGTTACCTGCTTTTGTTTTTATAAAGAAAATGACCAGCTTTATCCTTTAAGCACTGTGAATCAGCAGTTGTGCTCAATTGAATTGGAAACATCTGAAACGCATAATAAAATGAAAAGATTAAAAATATGTGTGATGAAGGCAAAGAGTGTAAAATTTCATAACATAATTTGCCTCTTATTGTAAATAAATGTCTTCTATGTTTCAGATTTTTCCAGATGCAGCTGGTTATCATTTCTTCACACTATAGGAAGTGACATCACATATTGATAGCGTGGTTCAGGCACGCCTCCCTAGAAATAAGGAGAGGGGAGAGGGCATGAGATGCACCGTGGTAGATTCAGAGGCAGACGCTGGATTGGCATGGCTGTGTGCAGCTCAGCACTGCGATCTGCATTCATGAGGCTCCTGCCAGGACATTTGGTGCTGGAGAGCGCAACACTGAGCTGTGCTGTGTTTTCACAGCATGTTGCAGGGCACTGGGAAATAGAGTGGGAATAATAAGTGGGGACAACCTTGTCACTTGAGCGATGTTCCGTGAGCTTCTCTCTCTCTCGTTTCAGACTCTCAGCCTTTTCAACACAGAGACTTGGGACTAATGGAGGGATGCAGTGATGTTACTCTTTGCTTGTCATGCTTGAATCACAGCTTCATATATCCTTTTGTGTCAGAGACCTTATTGTTTTTGTTTCTCTCTGCCGCCAGATCAACTGTGGGATAGTGTGGTGGACAGAGCCCCCTCCTCAACCCCCCTCTCCCTTGTTCGTGCCCCCGGATTCTCAGCACTCCTGGCTCACTCGTGTCTATTTACTTCTCCTAAGCTACCCTCCCCTCTCTGTCAAGCTCTGTCTTTCTTGCTGTCCTGCTCCCTACTGCTTACTGTCTTCACCTCTTTGCTCCTTCAAAGCAGGTAGTCTGCTGTTCTGTCCAAGCAACCTGCTACATGATCTCCTGGAAAACTGTTTTTGCTGCTGCTCTGCCGCCTCAGAGTTCCTGAGCACTTCTAGATTTCATCTCCACAACTGCAGGATGTTTGTTCACGAGGACTGATCACCCTCCAACCCCTTTCACTATCCCCTTCCCCTCCCTTGTCCTCATCTCCTGCCCTCTGACCCTTCCCCTCTTGTCTTCAACCCCCAACCTCATGTGTCTGCTGGCACCAGTCTATCCTCATCTTGCTGTCCTCTGTCTTATGGACCTGGGGGGAAAACTGCCCAGCAACCTGCCTGTGCCCAGATCCTCATACTGTGGACTGTAGCGGCCGTGGGCTGACCCATCTACCCGATGAGATCCCCTTGGATGTGCGCAGGCTTTTGCTGGCTGACAACTGGATACTCCGCATCCCCTCAGATTTCCTGGTTCTGTACAGTGACTTGGTCTACTTGGACCTCCGGAACAACTCCCTCTCCCACATAGAACCGGGGACACTTAGCAGCTCCTCCAGGCTGGTGTTCCTGGACCTGGGCAGCAACAATCTGACTGAAATCCCAAAGGGGACGTTTGGTGAGTCCCGTAGCCTGATCAAACTACGGCTAGGCAACAACCCATATCTGAGCATGGTGAGTGAGGATGCTTTTCTGGGCCTCACTTCTCTGAGGGAACTGGAACTGGAGCGCAATGCACTGTCTACCCTAAAGGTGGGAGCGTTGAGTCAGTTGCCCTCCCTGCGGGTGGTGAGGCTAGAGGGCAACCCTTGGGTGTGCAACTGCAACTTTGCCAGCCTGTTCACATGGCTGATGGACAACAGTCACAAGCTTCCAAATGGTAAGTAGCAGCATTTAAGAAGCATTTTCTTTTTATATGCTTGACCCAAATAAAGCATATCTGAGCAGGGCATACAGCAGTATTATGGAAAATCCATTGTTATAACACTTCTCTGGTCTATGTTTTCCCTGTAGGATAGGAACACACATCTACACAGATGCTTTGTTATAAATTTGAGTGTTTAAAATTTCAAAATGATTCACTAACTCAAAATGCAGTGTTGTTCAATCTGGAAAAATAAATTAGATGACTCTGGATTTTAGCTCACAGTTTTTCTGGTTCCACATTTAAGCTTTCATACAAACCAAACATTGACCTCTGTCTTGTGTGGTAGTCAGATCAATCAATTTGAGGCATATGCTGTATTTATGTAAGACTTATTTATATTATACTTGGCATTTGGTGGGCACTGTAATTCAGCAATATTCTCTAGGACTTCTCTTCTACAGCAGTACAAATCAAAACCTCTCTCCTGTTAATTGTTTAATGCTCTGCCTGTGTGAATTTTAGGCCCATACTATAGACCACTGTCTACCACTGTGATTCAGCCTGGAGGGCTGAGTTAGGTAACAGGGCTGATGTTTTGGTGTGTTTGAGTGTGCCAGGCAATTTGAGCACACAGCACAAAGGGGATTGCCTAGAAAAAAGGACCATAAACTCTGTTTTGTTCAGAGGGAACCATAGATTATTATTTATTTATTTATTTTGTTTTACTGAAGGTCGGTTATATGTATATTACTAATAATGTCCTTAGAAAGGACAAAGGCAACAGTTATCTCAAACGCAAGCCAGCATGTGGGAGCTCGGGAGGCAGAAAATAAACAGATCTGACAGTTCAGCCATACGTGACTAGTAGCTTGTGCTGTCATCATATTTGGATCAGTGTAGATTTCATGTTACAGATTCATTTAGTTTGAGCTCAGAACGTTATACGAATGTGGCCCAGTGTTGTGACATATGCCCATGGATGTAAAAGGTGTATTTTACAAGCCATTAAATTTATAATTACAGTACTTTATGTCCCGATACAGGGTGTTGTGGAGAAAGATGCACAGATAAGAAGTGGGAACATTTATGTCACTGTCCCCAGGTTGGTTTGGGTGTGGAATGTTGACCTGTATATAATAACAGTGTTTGTTGAAAGCAAGGGCCAAAATCTTTTGACTCAAAATTAGGTTTTTTTGAGATGTGAGAAAGGAAAAAAGCAGGAATGGGTTACATCACGTGAGGAGCTGTAGACAGGAAGTGAAGACTGATTCAAAAACAAATCCACCATGTGTGACATTATGAAAGACATCCATTGCCCTCCTGCAACTATTTTTAGAACGTTGCGCTGCATGCTCTCCGCACCTAGTGACAAATAGCATTTGGAGCAGAAATAAAATATTTTGCAGTTATTAGTTGTAGTTATTGGTTAGCGGAACTTAGCAAGATTCGATGCAAGGGATCTCACTGCTAATGCAAACATGGCAGAATCTTTGTCACGTGAGACTGAGATTGCACAGGGATCTAAAGTAGCTGCTGTAATTATGCAATAGATTTCCTGACAAAATGTCAGTTTTTCTATTTGCAAATTAAAATTACTTAAAACCTAATTGGGATTTGGCAGGCAAAAGCTATAGTTTGCCTCCTTTAGACAGCTTGCTAGCTGCTGTAAACTGCTGACAGCTCAAATAAGCAAACTCCGTACAGTATAGTCCATGGTGAACCTTACTATTGATACCGCTGTTGCTTTTCTTTCTTGTATTTCGGCATGAGTAACACACACGTTTGGGCCTGTGAGGAAGAAAAGTTGATAAACTGGCAAGAATACCTATTTCCCCCTAGTGCAAGACTGCAAATACATTAATCACAGGTTCTAAGTGTTGTCAACTACAAGGCATAATGAATTGCATTAGCAGTGCTGGCCAGGCAGACATCAGCAGCAAAGAACAAGCCAAAGGCCTGGCCAAGCTGCTGGCACCACTGCCAACTGGCCCCAGTGTATACACACTCCTAAATTGAGATAGTAATGTGTTTCCCACTTCATATGCAGCCCTTATATTCCCATCAGTGAGTGTTTGCTTTACAGCCCTAGGGACAAATTCATCATCCTGGACAGCACACAAACGCTTATTTCTTTGTACAGGATAGCTACAGTAAAGTGGTCTTCAGTTGCTCTTTTGTGTTACTGTATTTGATCATTTTCAGATGACTGGACGGTGGTCTGTGATGCGAATCATGCTGGAAGATTGGATGGCAAATAATATTTGAGCAAAATGATTCATTGTTTTCATCTTAGGTTCTTCTAAGACATGCAGATTAGTTCTGTATGAGGTCAGAAAGGACAAGAAGTTGTTTCATTGAACCGAAAGTATCCTCCTGTCTCTTTGTATAATTTAAAAAAGAGCTGCTTGGTTTTTCTTACTGCAGGGTTTTAAAGTTAACTGTGACCCATATTTGTTTTGAAAGGCACTATTTGCAGTAAAAAATCTTTGTAGATCAGTACATCTAGTAGGAATATACAGTTAAAAATTTGCATTTTGTGTGTAAATCAGTCCTTTTGCTATTTGTAAGTGTAACAAAGTAGTTTAATAGAAAAAAAAAATCTGTCATTAGTACTCTGAGCTGAAGAATTTTATACTAATGAACTGAGTTAAAGACTAAGAAGAGCTAAACACATACCTCCAGAGCTGCTAGTTGTGACTGTTTTCTGTTTTATGAACTTGATTTGAGTATTTTTGTGTCACACAGAGTCTTTGTCGACCCTAAATCTACTGCTGAACAAACACAAAGTAGCAGGGAGGCTTATACTGAGTTGGATTTACAAAAACGGCCTGTTCAAACATACAGGCATCATCCCGCCAGGCCTAATTAAAATAATCACTGAGCTCTTGATCGCAGGAAAATGCAATGTTCTATTCTTTAGAACATGATTGGAAGTGAGTACACAGTAACAGATGGACACTCATTAGTGAATGAGGTCAACTTTGTAAGCTTTTCAATATGTATCAACTCTAACCATCATCAATGTGGGTGTTCCAACTTAATATCTCATTCATCATAGAAAAAAAAAATCAATTACCGAGACAGAAATTACTCTTAACACTGTACATGAGCGTGCTCGTTCCATCTGTGTGGGAGTTGCATCCTCGTGCCTGTTTCATAACCCATACAACAAATGAGGAACAGAGCAAAAACATTAGAATCAAATTGTACACCCTCTGCATACTAATTCTAGTACTTATTCTATATGCAGTGTAGTGAAACGGACATAGTACAAAGTTCAGTAACTCCAGGATGTCAGCATGCTAGATTTTTGAGTGTGGTGATTATTTGCACTATTTTCCTATGATGCAATGCATAAAGGGAATGGAGGAGCTGCTCATAGGTGGAAAAATTATGGAGTGAAGCTCCAGAAACATCTCAGACAGCAAGAGTAAAGTAGATCTTAATGTTTTATTGCTTTCTTAAGTTTAAGTGCCATTCAATTGATGTCAGTCAGTGCACATTATGTGTAATTTCTTGTTAGTACAAAGTAGTACATTCATGCGGTATCTACAAGAACAGTCAACCAGTACACATCTCAGGTGTGCCTGTAGGTTCTTCAGTAGAATAATTTAAGATAATGATGTCTCAGGGTCAAATAGTGGCGGTTTTATCATGGAACTGAGTAGCAATTTCACATTTTAGCAAACTGTTCAGTGTGGCATCAGCACTGCACTGAATTTTAATACATTTTAAAAACTGACATTAAATAATGACAAAAATAAATTCCTGTTTTAGACGTCATCCTACCTGGGGTTACCCTCTGTGATGGTCTGCATAATGTAGCAGCTGCAGAGCCCACGCTGTAAACTCAAATCCCATTCCATTTTTCACATCTTGATTTCCCCTGGGATTTTGAGTTCGCAAAGCAGCACACTTTTCTGTGCATAACTTTGATTACTGCAGGGCAGCGTGGTTCAAATTCTGGACTTTTCTGAGTAGAAAACATCCCCTTTTTTTTTTACATGGCTGTGTTTTGTCTCCTGTGTGCATGATATGGTATTATTTCATAGCTAAATTGGACTTTCAGATTATCTTCCCAGAAATACAGTCAAGTATTCATCTTTAGCTGTAAAAGCTAAAGACAGACAGACAGACACAACCCCTCATTTTCACCGGGTGCGGCTGCGTCGCGTTTCATTTGTGATGTGGTTTTGAGCCGTCCTCTGCGTGACTTCATCCCCCATCAGCACTTTCTTGTTGTGGTGTACATTGTTTTTCCATGCTTTTGAGTTTCTACAATTGGGCTTTGTAGTGAAATGATTTCTTTTTTTGTCTGTTTAAATTGTGTTTGTTTTGCTGTAGCCTAATGTTAATGATGAATTTATTTTAACAGTTAGTGTAAGTCGTTATGAAACAAGGATTAGAGATTTATTGCTGTTAGTTGTTAAAAATACATTTATCCTCATAGGCTAATTATTTCATATCTGTGTTTCACATAACATCTATCGTTATGTTTTGGGGAAAGCGCTGTCTGATTGGTGCATCAAGCTTTTGTCAGACGCTTCCCAGAAGCAGCATCCTTAGTGAAGCGGAGTGGAGAGTTGCTTCCGAGATGCGTCACAGCTGCGCCCGGTGGAATGACAAGCATTGGCAGCGATCAGCTATGGTGACCGTGGAATGCAATGCAGTCTCCCTGGTGGCAATGAGGGGTAACTGTTTGCACCTTTGCATCTTTCTGCTGTTATCTTTGGTACTGTTTCTAAGTTGCACCAAGTAGCCACCAATCAGGTTCATAAAAGTTTTAATGGAGGGACGAGTGTAAACATGATCCACTGCTGTCTTCAGTGCTCTTGGGTTAAGACTGAACAAAGGCCATTTATAATTCAGAGTGACACAGTTCTATGGCACATTGGCTAGGGTAATTGGAGCCAGAGCTGTCTACAGGGCAGTGAAGGCCAACTGCTATGGGGCTGAAGCCCACCATAGCATTGTTATCAACACCAGTCATGACCTGAACAGTTTCACTACAG